ATGGGTTCTCGACTGCTTGATATGGCGATCAAAGCCAGTGCTTTACTAGCGCAGAAAATGAATCCTTTTCACAAACATCAAAAAACAGAGTTGAGGTACGATCAAGTTCGTAACGTCGTTATTTCTTACCTTTCCAATAACAGGAAAACCATGAAAAGCAAGCGCACTGTAAAGCTGGACAACGGTGGCTCCTGCTCGAATCTTTTCGTAAGCATCTTCACCGCTTGATATACCCCCACATCCAACTATCGGGATGCGACCACCAGTGAGCCTAAAGACAAGGAAGCATATATGTACAAGAATAGGAATGCGAAACTCTAGTGGAACAAAAGAAGAGCAATAAACTCACTTGTACATTTCTTTAATGCAATCGGTACTTATTTTGCGAACAGGAGCTCCACTCAAACCTCCCTTCTCGTTTTTGAACTCGCTTTTGAGAGTTTCAGGGCGAGAAATAGTTGTGTTGGAGACAATCAGACCATCAACGCCGTACTTCCTATCCATAACTACCTAAAACTGTGAAACCGGCGAAAAATAAATTGCTGATTGAGTATTTGGTACCTGCGCAATGTCTCGTTTTTCAGTTGGTGCAAGGTCGGGGGCTATTTTGAGGAGAACTTTTGGTCGTCGATCCAACTTCATAGCGTCAAGAACGTATTTAACATGAGCAAGCAACTAAAGGCACGTATTTTTCAAGACGTCCTTCACTGAACAAACATATTCAAAAATCAGCTGTAAGTGCAATAAGGGGAAACATGGATTTTTTCCAAAAGAAAGTAGGCGGAGCATACACTGAGCGTTTGCGCATGCGAATTGGGATTGAAACCTTGAAAAGGCACAGCTCACAATATAAATGAGTTCCGAATTTTCCTACTGTTTTCTAAAAATGCCGTATGGCGCACTGTCAGATCGAAAAACGGCTCGGATAGGGTGCAACGAAGGCTCGCAAACCGGCTCCGTCAGCACCCAGAAATGGCCTTTTCGGAGAACTTAACTTTCAAAGACTACTCCACTCAAGATGAAGCACATACGGGAAGATCCCACAGCTGTTGTCCGGGCTAATACAATGGAGGTATTCTGTAGGGTTCCAATACTCCACGCTAGCCTCTTCTATTCTATATGTCCTATGTATGAAAAAGGTGTGTTAACACTTCTTTACGCAATTACACATGAATCCTTGTCCAGATACCCCTTTCCGTCGTCTCAATCTCGTACAATCCCTGTTTCCTCTGGTTTTAGCCTCACATAATGCACCTTCCAGGGATTTTCTTCTTAGCCGATGCACCATTCTACTCCACCATTGCCGCTTTTCAATTTCAACCGGAGACCTCGAAATTATCGTGAACTGCGCCTTTATCGTGATGCTGCCGTCTCTATTTCGCGTTAGGCAACATAGAAAAACTTACATTTTGCAAGT